TAGAAAGTTGAGTGATCTCTCTCTTTCTCTCTCTCTCGTGTGTGTGTGCTCATCCTATGCATGCTCATCTACACCTTTGTTTCTGATCCAATAACTCTGGACTACACAAGGTTTTTGCATGATCCTAGTAATATAGGTAAAAGATGTTGGACTTCAACCACTCTGCAAAACTGAATATAAATGGTGAAAACAAGAAGGTTGTGCTTTAAGGTTGCCCTTGCAGGATGCCGTTTTAGCAGTTAACCCCTTTGAGCTTATATTATAAAGTGTGACTGCAAGAGTGTCAAATACTTTTGTGGCTCTCTGTTTAGCTTGCATCAAGCAATTTTCAATTTTGCAGGTTCCATGCCAACTGCTAAACTTGCTGTTTAGCTTTGTCAAATCTGTGGGTTTTGTCCCAATTCCTGAGAAATTCTCCAATTCAACCTGTGTACTTGGTAGTGCATGTCAAATGATGGTTCACGTAGTTACTTATTCATTTTTTGTAGTGTCTTGTCATACCTATCAGTAATAGGCAAAACGACATCTACTCCACCATTGCCTTGGCAGAAATCATTATTTTGTTCATTCTTAATATTTTTTATGAGGGTTGGAATGAATTCAATTCTTTACTGTTAAGGTGGTACTTTGATGTGTATTGGTGCTCAAAACCTTTAGATGATAATTTAAATAATTGTTAGTCCTCAAGTTCTTCAATGAGAAATATACACAATTCCGGTGGTCATGCCTTGAGAAACCAAAATTGTTGCCTTGCTTATGAGTGAAGATTAAATAAATATTGTGGAACAATGTGTGTTTCATAGTTGGGAGGCACTGATGAGTTTATATGTTTGAACAGCTAAGGGAAGCCATGGAGAAGAGTACTGCCATGTTTGACAAGGAAAAAGCAATGGAACGCTTGTCCAAGCTATCCAGTGGTGTTGCGATTTTCAAGGTATTGTCTACCATACAAAACTCCCATGGCTGGATATCTCTGGATGCATGCCCTCATTGCAATTCTTCATTTTCTCAGGTTGGAGGGGCTAGTGAAGCAGAAGTTGGGGAAAGGAAAGATAGGGTTACAGATGCTTTGAATGCTACAAGAGCAGCTGTGGAAGAGGGCATTGTTCCAGGTAGATTTGTATTTGCCATTTAGTGGTAAAATATGTTGCTTTCTCTACAACTACGATTAGAAGTTACCCGTTTTTGATAGGTGGTGGAGTTGCTCTCTTGTATGCCACAAGAGTCCTGAAGAACCTTCAAACTGACAATGAAGACCAGAAAAGAGGAGTCCAAATAATTGAGAATGCTCTTAAGGTTCCGTTTTTGGGATTTCTAGGTCAGCTTTGTTAAGTGGTGGTTGCAGTTTTGTATTCTCTGATATCGATATCTGTCTTTTCATAGGCACCTACTTTCACAATAGTCTCAAATGCTGGTGGTGATGGTGCTCTGGTTCTTGGCAAGCTATTGGAACAAGATGATCTCAGAATTGGTTATGATGCTGCCAAAGGTTTGTCCCTCTAGATGTCATTAGATAATTCCTTGGTATTTTAAATCTGTTATGGTTCAATAAGTGGAAGCTTACCTACGGCTGCATTAGCTTCTAAAGCAGCCAAAACGAGGTTTTGCCCAAATATGAAAAAGGTGGTTGTGACCAAGTGGGCACATCATGCATAGTTGCAAACACTTGTTAAGATACATCATTGTTTTCTAGTGGCGACATTCAAATTTGAATCTCTGCTCACTAAAGGTCATTACGAAATTATTCAACGTACTAGTTCTTTTTTAGCCATTCCAATTTTGTGTTTTGTGCTTTATCTAATCATGGGCCTTTGCATTTTTTTCTTCTTGTCATTTTTGAGGTTTTTTTTTCCAGATAATAATTTTTTGAATATTTCCTCTCCAATTTCCTTTTTTTTAATTTTTTTTTTTGAAATTGAAACTGGTTGTAGGTTGTTAATCTGTATGCCAAAATTCTTGTGTTTTTGTGCACTGACAATGCATGTTCTGAATTAGGTCATTATGTTGACATGGTGAAGGCTGGAATAATAGATCCATTGAAAGTTGTTAGAACAGCCTTTGTTGATGCTGCCAGGTAAAGATTATTGCAGATTATATCATATAGTGTATCTTCTCAATCTTTCAGTATACTAAACAAATTTTGTTGTTGATTTGCAGTGTCTCATTGTTATTGTCAACAACCGAGGCAGTTGTTGTGGACCTTCAAGGAGAGAAGAATCCTCTCGCAAATCGTATGCCAAATATGGATGATATGGATTATTGATTTTGATGACATAATTTTGAAGTTTCAGCTATTGTGAAGATTCAAGAAGCCATGCCAGTAATCCATACCATTTACAAAAAATTGAGCCCTAGTCTCCTAGTCTCAGTTATCTTCAAAGAGTTGAACAAATTTTTTTCCAGAAACCAATTGGGATTTTGAGGGTTTATAAGAGAGAGTACTTGTGCAAAGGTATGAAGGTCTTACAACTAATAAAATTGTTTTGCACACTGGGCATAGATTGCTAGTAGAGTTGTCAACTGTTTTTTATAAAATAATGCTTTTTATCATGCGAGTTTTATCTTTCATCTTCTTGGTCCTTCCATGTTCAAGTCCGACACATTTTTTATTTTCCATTGAGACTACTTTACATTTTAGGATCAGATCTTAACAGTTAGTTGAGTTTGCCTCAAATTAAGGCCTTGGCTATGTCCTATGTCTCCAATTTGGGGCCTAAAACAAGAATTTCACATGAGATTTCGATCAATATTTTGAAAAGACAATAAATTTTTTTTATAGTTGTTAGATATTTTATAGAGAATTTTGGTGTGGTTTAATTTCAATATCTTAGTGGTTTTGGGATCCGATGGGATTGGATAATCAATTGGGTGGTATATAAAGTTGGGATTTTGTGCGTGAATAAATTAATTGGAGTCTTAAAGATATAACAAAATAGTTAGAGAGATAAGTACAAAGTGAGAGAGACAATTAGAATGAGTGGAAGATAAAGGTTTGGAGAGAGGCGAACAGGGTGGAGGAAAAAAATGTGAAAAAAATTTAAGAAACAATGCTATTTATAATGCTAGAAGTTATTACTTTTAGGTTTTTTAGAAGGTTTTGTTATATTTTAAGATTTTTTATAAAGTTTTACATAGACTTGTAAAATATTGTTATAGTTTATGGTTTTATAAGAATTTACTTAGAATTGTGAAATACATTGAGTCTCAAAATATGAAGTTAAACTAAGGACTAAAAATTAACTTAGGATCCTTGAGGTCTTTAGGTCGGTCTTACTATGCCTTCTTCCATTCAAAAAATTTAAGTGTCTATGCATCTTTCAATGATCCTAGTTTTTGCGAGTTGTTTACCGTTAAGTAGATTAATGTTTTATGAATTTAGTTATTTAAAATAGTATTGTACTCGTAATAGATAGAAGAATATAAAGTGAGATTAAAAGGGAGAGATGATAAAAATAAATAGTTTAATTTGTGTTTTAAGTTTACAAAAGGACAAAAATATAGATAAAATGAGAACACGTGTGAGAGAGAGAGTGATTAGTGATGTCTAATTTACACTATTTTTTTGTACCTTTTAACCTTATTATTTTTTGTGTTATTGGGTTAGACTTTTGGATTCAAATCATTTAACTAGGTTTTTCTGTTGGTTAAAAATTGCTCAAAATGTTATTTGGACTTTATTTGAGGATCTTATTTAGGGACATAATGATGTACAACCATTGAAAGATACATTTTAACGTCCCACATTTTAAGGTACAACTAATCCAATAGTTGCATTGAAGTCACATTATTAGATCTCTAAATAAAGTCCTCAAATAAGATTCATATAGTATTGCTCAAAATTTTAATTGAATTTTTTTGTTGGACTCAATTTTTATAAGTTTAAATTTTTGGTATAAACTATGTTACATAGACTTATAAATTTGAGACATTTTATTTAGTTGGACCCTAAAAAGTCCGTGCTTCAATAGCATTGTGTATGGGCAACCTTGGTTCTTTCATGTTCAAGACTTCCGAGACGATCGGACTGAGTCCGGCGCATATTTTATTTTCCATTGAAACTAGTTTACCATGGGATCGTCTTGATAGGAACAGATCTTAGCAGTTAGTGAGTGCCTTAAATAGTATAGGGCCTCATTTGCCTCAAACTAAGGCATTGTTTTTTGTTTGGTAGCATATTTTTTTTGGGTGATTTGATTTCTAATAATTAAAGGGTTAATAATATTTTTTGTCCTACTTATTTTATCAATTTTATCCTCATTGTATTTATTTTGTCAATTTAATCTCTAAAGTTTCAACTCGTGTCATTTTGATCCTTAATCAGATAATTTGTTAATATTTTTTGACAGAAATAATTACGTGTCTTTCTTTTAGACGTTATCACGTGACCAATATTTTGGCCAAAACTCAACGGTTTTTTCTATGTAAGGATCATTTAAATACAAATTATATACTTTATGGGTCAAATTGATAAATTATACATATTTTAAAGACCAAAAATTTAAATACATTCAACATGCGTTTTTCTATTCTATTCCGGAGAATCTCATTTATGAAATTGTAAAAGTAACATATTGCTTTTATTTTTCCCTGTTATCTACAAGCTAAGAATTGATTTGGATGTCACATATTCAAATCATGGAAACAATGTCATTGCACGCGGGATGGGCAGGGAACACCTCGTTTACCGGGTTGGGCTGCCATTGTGCTTGGATAACTTGACCCAAATTTGTGTGCATGGGCATACATAATTGAAGGCAGACGTGGGGGGAGGTAATTGAACTGCCATTGACCGTTTCTTTCCTTGGACAAACCAAAGACAAGTATAACGGTCATTACCCCTTGTTTTTCTCCCTTCCACTTTTCCCTTTCCAGTCGTTTCTCTCTCTATCTCTCTCCTGAGAAAGAGACCAATACTGATTGAAAATTGCTTCTAACATCTTTCTGTCTTGTCTTCTTTGTTTTGCTTTTATTGATTGAATTAATTTCACTGATGTGCAACAATGGAGGGGAAGAGGACGTTGACGATGAATTGGGAAGGTTTAGGAGAAGACGATGACGATGATCGTTTTTTTGAGACATTTGATCGAATATCATCTGCTGTGTCCCTTGAACTTGCCTCTTCTGACTCGTCCGAAGATGAATTCGATGAGAGTCGCATGTCTTTTGCTTCTGCTCTCTCATCAGCTTCCATTAATTCCTTCCGTAGCCATAAATCAGTTGCACAATCTTCATCAATGTTGGAAGATTACGACATGTGGACTGCGGAACCGGAGTCCATCACAGATCGTCGCAAACGCCTCCTTCAGGGTATGGGATTATCGAGCAACAAGGACCTTTTGAGAGTCACCAGCACTAAATTTGCTCGAGTCATCTCTAAAAAAATTGACAATGCTTCAGTTGATTCATCTCCGTCGCAGGAATCAAACCAAGGGCATTCACCTTCAATTCCTATTGTGTTTGTCCGGTCTAGATCCGATGGAGATATTGAATCGTTTTCTGCAAGTACCAAACAAAGAAAAGAAGAATTAATCGGTTCTATATCCAAACAGCGTATTACTAGAACTTCATCAGTGTTATTAACACCAAGCACAGGTATATGTCACTGCGCCAATTCTGTAATATTATCACCAAAGACAGCTAGAAACCGATCTTCAATACCCAATAATGGAGCGTTGCAATCTATGTTGTCAGATGGCCGGTTTGATTCATTTTTCCTGATAAAGAATTTGGATACTGGAAAGGAATTCATTGTTAGAGAGTTCAATGAAGAAGGAATGTGGAATAAGCTGAGTGATATTCAGACAGGAAAACAGCTTACCATGGAGGAATTCGAGAAGTGTGTCGGGCATTCTCCTGTTGTTAAGGAGTTGATGCGTCGACAGATTGTTTCAAGACATTCCGATGATGACAGGAAAGTTGGTGCAAATTCGTACCTTAGTAAGAGCTTCAGATATAGCAAGAGGAGAGGGGTCGCTCTTTTGAAAAATATAAAAGGTGTAGCAAATACAATGAGTGGATTAATTGTTGACAAAGAAAGAGAGCATCCTTTACCAGCAGACCAGAAAGCTAGCAAGAACTCCTCATCCGAATGGGTTAAAGTTCGTCAGCACGGGAAACACTATAAGGAATTCACTGGTTTGCATTTGTGTCAAGAAATTCAGGCTCATGAGGGCTCAATTTGGACCATCAAATTCAGCTTGGATGCACATTACCTTGCAACCGCAGGAGAAGATAGGGTAATCCGTGTGTGGGAAGTGCAAGACTGCGATGTTATGCCAACCAGACCGCCTGATGACCTGAATTCTGCCAGTGCCACTCCACTCCACCCAATGGCATGCAGTATTTCAGATCGGCCTCCTCTAGCTGAGATCACACCTATGCCTTCAGAAAAGAAGAAAAAGGGGAAGAATTCTAACAGGAAAAAGGGCAACTCAATTCCTGATTATGTCCAAGTCCCAGAAAGTGTGTTTGCACTTTCAGAAAAACCAGCATGCACTTTCACAGGTCACCTCGATGATGTCTTGGACCTGTCTTGGTCAAGTTCTCAGGTTAGTTTTCCTCCAACCTTGTTTCTGTTAAGATGTTGGAATGAGGAATTGCAAGAACACAATCAGGTTGAGCTCCAAAAATTGTACATTTCATATCCAAAAACTGAAATCATCAACTAATTCGTTGAAGATTAAGACTGCAATCGGATTACTCTCCTAATTAGAAGTAGACATTTCCACAATACTGAAAGCCTTTATTTACCCCCCTCATTAACAAGCAGCTATAAAGGTTTTGGTGTAGCGGAGACAAAACTATTTTTTGTTTGTTTCATATCTAGAAAATTTTACTCTCATTTGCTAAATGCAGAGCTAATATACAATTATGCAATTTTTTATGGACATGTAGCTGCTACTATCATCTTCAATGGACAAAACAGTTAGGCTATGGGACATGGAAAGCAAGAGCTGTTTAAAGTTGTTCGCTCACAATGACTATGGTAAGATGCTATACTGCTCAATTATTCGTGGGCCCAACAATGGTACTTTGTCATGTCATTTCATTTGAACCTATTTGCGTCTGATGTGTTTATAATGTGGCAGTAACTTGTATACAGTTCAATCCAGTGGATGATGATTACTTCATAAGTGGTTCATTGGATGGAAAGGTTCGAATTTGGAGCATACCTGACCGGCAAGTTGTAGACTGGACTGATCTCCATGAAATGGTTACTGCTGCATGCTATACTCCTGACGGCCAGGTAAGCACAGCAATGTTTTGCTATATTTTCCTTCTCAAAGTCAATCATCTGCTTCCCCCTAGTCCGGCTTGGGAATTGGGTTTCTCATTAAGACCCAGTTTTCAAGTACTTGGGGAAGTTTCTGAAATTGCAGGTTTAAAATATTCATTTCCCATCCTGTTTCAATCTACTCCTAGTTACACGATGGAAAACTTTTTCAAGCTGAATAACCAGGCAAATTTGTTTTGGACCGTAAGAAAAATAGGAAAAATCATAGTCATATTATTGGGGATTGAGTAAAAGAACTACAATGAATTTTGTTTAGTGTATTATAATGTCTTGTTTTCATAATGAAGGGTGCTGTAATTGGTTCACATAAAGGGAGCTGTCGCTTGTATAGCATAGTTGGTATGAGCTACTCCCTAAGTTCCATTCCTTTTTCTTCTTCTCTGTTTGTTCCTTTATTTCTTTCTTTCATGCATTTATTATATTATTTTGGCAACTAATAAACACTGCAAACTTCTATGTTCTGATAGAATAAACCATAGAGGTGTATTAATATTCATTTTATCTGGTGACTAATTAGATTGCAAGCTAGAACAAAAATATCTTGTAGATATCCCAAACAAGAAAAAGGCTCAAGCAAAAAAGATTACTGGTTTTCAGGTACTATTCTTTTTCTTACTTCTATCCAGTTTCATCTTGCTTTAGATGTTCTGTTCCCACTTCCCAACCACCTACCATAAGCTTAACAGAATTTGTTTGTTTTCAGTTTGCCCCATGGAGTTCATCTGAAGTGCTCATTACTTCCGCAGATTCTCGGATTCGACTTTTTGATGGATCAAATATCATCCATAAATTCAGAGGTGTTTTTCAAAATGTTTTTTCCCAAAACATGGAAGAATACTCACAAGTTCAATAAATAATGGATTTGTTGGTGACAGGTTTCCGAAATACTAGCAGCCAAATCTTGGCTTCATTCAGCCCAGATGGAAAATATGTCATAAGTGCAAGTGAAGATTCTCAAGTGTACATCTGGAAGCATGAAGACCCCCGAAATATAGGAACTGGGAAAAGCAGAAGTTCGACCACTGTCCAATCCCATGAACACTTCAAGTGTAGAGATGTTTCTGTCGCAATCCCATGGCCTGGAAGTATTAGAAATGAGCCACCAATAGTAGAAGTGCATTCCAAAAGGCACTCAAAGCGCTCCACCCCACAACAGCATTCCTCCAGGGGTTCTCCAACCGGAGAAGATAGCTTAGCAGCTACACAAAGTAAGAGACAGCTGCCACCCCTTCCAAAGAGAAGTAATGTGTTGGAGAGATCTTCAAGTTGCCCGGATGAGGACCCTGCTCAACTTTCTCATACAGACTCGGGGATCGGTGCTAGTGAGTCATTTGCTTCAGCTTCGGCTTCCCTTAGGTATGGTGACTCACCTTCTATTTCTGCTTCTAGCAGATCTCAATCTTGGTCTTCCTCTTGGCCTTGGTTTGATGGTGGTAATAGTCATGGGAGCCACACTGTCCAAGCAACGGCATGGGGCATGGTAATTGTGGCAGCAGGACTAGGAGGTGAGATCAGGGTATATCAAAATTTTGGGTTGCCACTTAAGGTTGGCCGGTAGATCCATCTATTTAGAGACCACACATAACATTTCTGTATCGGTAGAAAGTTTTGGAACATATACGTTTGTCTTTGGCAGAGTCTGCCCAAGGGTCATCCATGTCAATGGTGTTCTTCTAGCACCCGTCATGGGATAGACATTCTACCGCAGAGTTTTCAATCATTGGGAAATTTGGGCATGTCTGCATTGCAGATGATGATTTTATTGTAGTTGCAATCAAGTGATGGATGTTAATGGAAGTTTCAAACTGTTCCTTGAAGATTTTCTTAGCCTGGTAATTGAAAATCAATCAGAAACAATCTGCGAGACGATAGCATTTAGGAATAACAGCTTGGATTATTCATATGTAAATAACAAATATGTATGAGTTATATAATTTTTCTCTATATTAGAATTTTTGACTTTGGATATTGATGCTAAGGGTTCGAACGGGGTTCCAACTCGATGTAGGAAAACACATTTCCAAACTTCATCCATTGAGGTAGCAATTAGTAATATCATCTGAGATTCAATCTTGCCTACGTTCAATTGAAGGAACTTTTGACACTCATTTATAAAAATGTCATGTCGTGTATAATTAGATTTATATCATGATTCAAATTTATGTCATTCTATTATTATGAAAATTTAGTTGGTCAATCTTTGTTTCAAATCACTTACGGTGAGATTATAATTTCTTATCAATTCGAGTTAAATTAGCGTGTCACAATTACTACTTTATCTCTAACAACAACAGGGCCAAATACATATACATAGATGGATTAAGTAAAAATTGTAGGGAGAATCTCATCTTTACCCTTCGAAAGATTTAAGTTTTTTTTATTTGGTATGATCAAAAAAAAAATTCTTACATTATACTTTAATGTATTAAAAATTGGGTTAATTACAAAATATCCCCTCCAAGTTTAGGTCATATTGCAATCGACTCCTTCAGATTTTAAATTCAACAATTTGTCCCCTTCAAATTTGAATTATTTTCAATTAACTCTTACCGTTAATTGACCACCGTTAAAAATGATAAAAGTTTATTAAAAGCCAGAACTACCTTCATCTAATATTTATGTAAAAATAAAAATAAAAAATAAAACCTCGCACCCCGTTAGTGAACCACCTCCCTCCCCTTCCAGTGAACCCACATCCCTAGTGAAACCAAAAACCACCTCCCTCCCCTTCCTTGTGAACCCGCCTCTCGGTGAACTGAAACCCACCCCACGCAAACAATCCACCTTCTCTCCCCTCCCCCTCTAGTGAACCCACCTCTTTAGTGAAATTGAAACCCACCTTCCTCCCCCTCCAATTAACTCACCTCCCTCCCCTCCGATGAACCCACCTCCCCAGTGAAACCGAAACCACCTCCTTCCTCTTCCAATGAACCCATCTCCCTCCCTTTCCAGTGAAATCAAACCCCCCCCTACCAAACATTGAAATCCCTCCAATGAACCAAAAACATCCACACACGGAAAACACTGGTTAAATCGAAACATCCATACACCCCACCCTCAAACAACCACCTAAACAATTGAAATCCCTCAGTGAAACCGAAATTTCCACACACCAAAAACACTGGTAAAATCGAAACATCCATACACTCCACCCTCAAACAACTACCTTCCAT